GTGACCAGCCTGAAAACAGCCATCAGCCCCTCATCCAGGCTGTCCAGGCACCCCAGTGGGGACCCCCACCCTGAAGGGGGTGTGACCAGCTGCAAACAGCCATCAGGCCCCACCCAGGCTGGCCAGGCACCCAAGCGGGACCCCCACCCTGATCCGGGACACCCTTCAGGGCAAACCAGCCGGCCCCCACCCATGCACCAGGCCTCTATCCTATATAGTAAAAGGGTAATATGCAAACTGACCCTAACAGCAGAACGACTGGGAATGACTGGTCACTATGACACACACTGACCACCAGGGGACAGACGCTCAATGCAGGAGCTGCCCCCTGGTGGTCAGTGCGCTCCCATAGGGGGAGCTCTGCTCAGCTACAAGCCAGGCTGACAGCTGCCAGTACAGCAGTGGTGGTAGGAGCCTCTCCCGAGTCCTCAACAGCACTGAGGATGTACGACTGCAGCTTAGGCCTACTCCCCACTGGCAAGTGGACATCCCCCAAGGGCTCCTGGGCTGCCAGAGGGATGTCTGATTGCCAGCTTAGACCCAATCCCCCAGGGATCGGGCCTAAGCCAGCAGGTGGTCATCCCCCGAGGGGCCCCAGATTTCGAGAGGGCACAGGCCGGACTGAGGGACCCTCCCCAGTGCACAAATTTTTGTGCACCCGGCCTCTAGTGTGTATATAACATATGACATATATATGTGTGTGTGTGTGTGTGTGTGTGTGTGTGTGTGTGTGTGTTTGTAAGTCCTTATGCTATTTTAAAATGTATATATTATACCTTGAGAATATTATGCTAATTGAAATCAGTCAGAAAAAGCTAAGAATCATATGACTTCACTCTTATCTATATATATAAAATCCTAATATGCAAATTGTTCCCTCAGGAGTTCAACCGGGAGACCTGGAGTTCAATTGCTTGCTATGATGTACGCTGACCACCAGGAGACAGCACAGAATGAAGGAAGGCCCCCAGCAGGCAGCTGGCATTCTGGGTAAGGAAGGCCCCAATCGGCCCTGATTGCCAGCCAGGCCTAGGACCCTACCCATATGGAATATAAAACTGAAACTCAGAGACACAGAAGAAGGGGGTTACCAGAGGGAAGGGGGATGGGGGAGTACAAAAGGGTAAAGGGGGCCAAATATATGGGGACAGAAGATTATTTGACTTTGGGTGATGGGCACTCAATGTGATATACAGATCACATAGCATAGTAATGTACACTTGAAACCTATATAATCTTATCACCAGTGTCATGCCAATAAATTTTATAAAAACTAAAATTAAAAAAGATCACATAAAAGAAAAAAAAAGAAAGCAAAGGGTTAATATTCAAAATAGTTCAGAAGATTACAAAAGTAATGTATACCACAGATACCAGCATTCATTGTAAATAAGTGCTGAGTAAGACAATATGAAATTGGAACAGATTTAGACTAAACACACAGAATACTCCCAGAAGTAGACTCACCCTCAAAGGCAAAAAATGGGAGAAGATATACCCATTACATATGACTAAAAAACAAAAAAGGACTAAATTCCAAAATATATCAAGATTTCTACAAATCGCTAAGCAAAATAAAAACATTATTAAAAATTTTGGAGGGAAAATATCTGAACAAGCATTTCTCTGAAAAATTAAACACAATGACCCCTAAATAAATAAAATATGCTCTATTTATTAATAATAAGGGAAATGCTAAATAAAACCACATGAGATAGAATTAGTACCAATCAAATGTGCAAAAATATTTAAATCTGGCAGCACCAATTATTGGCAAAGATGTCAGGCAAAGGGGAACCCTATACACTCCTATTGGAAGTATCAATAGGTACAACCGCATAGAAATCAATCTGGCATTGTCTAGGAAAGATGCTTACAGCCTACTACCCACAATTCCAATCCCACTTATTTGTTCTAGTAAAACCTCTATATGTTCATTAGAAAATATATACATAAGTGTGTTCATTATATTATATTAACAGGAAAGTGAAATCAACCATAATATCCTTTGTTATATGAATAGATAAAGAAATTGTGTCTTAATATACAGTAGTACCATGTAACTATGAACACAGATAAATTACAACTAAAAGTATCAAAGCACAACTAAAAGTACTAAACTGAAACTTAGCCTAGGTTTTTTATGCTTTTGTATGCAATTGTAAATGGGATTTTTTTTTTTTAATTTCTCCTTCTGGTTACTCATTATTAGTGTACTAGAGGCCCGGTGCACGAAAATTCATGCACTCAGGGGGGTCCCTCAGCCTGGCCTGAGCCCTCTCGCAGTCTGGGAGGCCTTGGGGGATGTCCAACTAACAGCTTAGGGGAACGCGCCTAAGCCGCCAGTAGGACATTCGTAGCACTGCTGCGGAGGTGGGAGAGGCTCCCGCCACTGCCGCTGCACTCGCCAGCTGTCAGCCTGGCTTGTAGCTGAGTGGTGCTCCCCCTGTGGGAGTGCACTGATCACCAGGGGGCAGCTCCAGCCCCGCCCCCATCGCCCATCCACCACTGCTGGTTGCTGCTGCTCCCCAATCTCCATCCTCTCCCTCTGCCTGCTGGCACCCTCCTTGGTTGGCCTGCCACCCGCTCGCCTGCCCTGCCCCCTGCCCACTGGTCATTCCGCAGTTTGGTCGATTTGCATATTAGGCTTTTATTATATAGGATAGGAATGCAACAAATTTCTGAATATTAATTTTATATCCTGCTAAAATGTTTTTTTAATCAGATTTTACAGAGTGCAAAAATGAATAGCAGCAATGAGACATAAGTAACCTACAAGGTCAAACAGCTGGTGAGTGATTAACTCAGAAATAATTACTCATACACAGTACAGCTACCCCATAGAGCTATAACTCTGGACAATGTAACCCCTTGTCAGACTCAAGTATATTCTGGGACTACCACCTTCTAGTTCAAATTTACATTCATGCTAATTTCCTCACTTCTTGTTCTCCTTCATGTGTTAACCACATGTCTTTCAACGTTGACTCTTCTTTTTTGTCATATTCATCTTTCAAGTATTTGACATTTTACTTCCAAGAAGTTTATTTCATTTTTAAAAGAAATCAAGCCTTTTTTGGTATAAAGAGCAAATTAAATAAAGAGAAGACGAAAAAGGGGGAAAGAAATGGAGAGGAAAGGCATATTTTCCAAACATGATGAATAAGCAAATGCAAAACTTATCTCAGAAGGTGCCATACTTTAAAACATCAAATGGGGCAATAGCAGTTTTTTTTTCCTTTGATAGTTGAAACTACACGGAAAGATTGGGCGAAAAGCCGAATTATGCAATATGCAATTTGCACTGAAACCTCAAGTTTCCTGGCAGATCTTCAAAATTCTGTGGTTGATTTTACCAACTATAATGTCAAAATCTAAGAGTCCTTAGGACGCCGTAGGTAGCTAAAACTTTGAGATAGGAAAACTAAGTTCACATCCTTCAACAAAATTAAGCAAATAAAAATAAAATATGAAAAAAATTTAGATGCAAAAGTATATTTCAAAAAGAGAAAGTACATTTTCAATTGAAAACCAATTTAGATGGATCTACCTAAACTCTAATTTCTTGTGGAGAAACGAGCAGAAAGAAAATTTATACCTAGGATTCCTTTGAGACAAACAACCGTTGATGTAAAAAATAGTTATAACCCAGTCAAAATAGTTAGGAATCCTCACCCACATAAGCACCAGGAATGGTGCCTTATGCAGCTATGATCCTGGAGAATCATAACATCTCAGAAACGAAGGCACAAGTTGATGATTAGCTAAAATTCTTTCTGGTCACCCAAGCAGATCTTCACTGTCCTTTAAGCCAGTGGTCCTAAATCTCAGCTGTACCAAAATCACCTGGAGCGCTTGATCAACACCGTTTGCTGGACCCATCCCAGCGTTTCTCATCTTGCACCCAAGAATTTGCATTTGTAACAAGTGACCCAGTGGTGTGATGCTGTAGTTCTGGGGGCCATGTTTTGAGCACCACATTTTGAAAACCCCCATGTTATTTTCTTTCCCTGGCTAAGTGGATTTCTCCCTATTCTCTGGCTGCTCCCACTAGTCTCCTTC